CTTTGAGTGATAGAGAGAAAATTATAGCCTTCTACAGTGAGGTTTTGAACCTGAAACTGATCTATCTTGTATCTCAGCAAACAAACGTGAAACAGGAGCAGACTTGCTGAACACTCAAACATACGAGATCATCACCCAGTGCCAGATCTGCGACAGACATCGGCGATCATGGTTTTCCATTCATTCCTTTGCTCGGATGCTCTCAAAAAGCTACGTTTCCCTGATCTTTCCGTTACCCATTTGTTTAGGTTCCCTAAGTAGGTTGTTCTAGGCCTACCCCTGCCTCGCTTGCCCTCAATTTTGCCAGTGAGAGCTAGATGTTCAAGACCCTTATGTCTATTCAGGTGTCCCAAAAACTGCATTTGTCGTTTCCTGATTGTTTTTAACATTGAGCGTCCCACGTGGGCTTCATCAAGCACTACCTCATTTGATTTCTTTTCTTTCCACATACGAGAAAACGTATCCAACACCCGCTCTTTGATGATAGATATCGAAGACAATAATTAGTGACATTCGAGTTGGACACACTTGTGTATTTTAATCACAACGGTAACCACCAATTAAACTGAAAGATGACAGTTATCTCATATAGCATCTTTGCACTGATCTGTATACAATATGTGAGGCAGCGTGGTGGAATCAGGCTCTCGTCAATTTTTGGGCATGTAGAGTCATTGGTATCATCTTAAAGCTTGTTTACTTGTCTTTATTTTGGTGAAAAAAATATCCATTTATCTTAAATACAAATCGATATATTTGCGAAAGAAGGTGGGGGTCACATGTTTTCAGAGGTAAAATTAGTGAGAAAATGGCAGCCAAAGATTAGTTATTTCCTTAGCTTAAGAGTTCGTGATAACTGAAAATTTACATTTTTTGTGCCTTTAATCAACAGTTTTCAGAAAAAAATCCACACAAAAATGAGTTCTTTAAAGGACGAGAAAGGTGTTGAACCAAAAAACGAAAATTTGATAACAATTCACAAACCTGCGGCAAAATGCAAGTTTCTTCACTTTGATTATTTTGACGAGAGCCTGATTCCACCACGCTGCTTCACATATATATTATGACGTTTCTTGTCTTTGAAGTTCAAAGAGTTCCCAAGAACTCACTCTACTCACTGACAAACTAATAATGAGGACCGTGCATTTGTGCCCGTCTTAACGATTGTATGTCTATTATACTCGTCGCCCCGAATGCTTTTCCACCTTGTTTATTTATTGGCAAACGAAACTCTGTGAACCAGCCTGAGTTTTGTGTTGTTGGTAGTCTGTAGGTTATATTTCATTTATTTCCCTCAGTTGTTTCTGTCTGTCTGTCTGTCTGTCTGTCTGTCTGTCTGTCTGTCTGTCTGTCTGTCT